TGAGAAGCCAGGGTTACTACTAAATTTCCTCCAACATACAGGACAGACCCCACAATAAAAATTTGTATAATGTCAATAGTGCTGAGTTGAAAAACCTTGATATACAGGGAAAACAGGTCATTGAACAAGTTAATTATAAGTTTAATGACAATTTTATTTTTATTTATTTATTTATTTATTTGAGAAAGAGTCTCAAGCTATCGCCCTGGGTAGAGTATGTGGCATCACAGCTCATAGCAACCTCAAATTCTTGGGCTTAAGCGCTTCTCTTGCCTCAGCCTCCCAAGTAGCTGGGACTACAGGTGGCCACCACAACACCCAGCTATTTTTTGGTTGTAGTTGTTCATTGTTGTTTGGCAGGCCTGGGCTGGATTTGAATCCACCAGCTCCAGTGTATGTGGCTGGTGCCCTAGCCACCTGAGCTACAAATGCTGAGCCTTAATGACAATTTTAAAAAAGAGGAAGTAATCAATTTCCTTTAAAGAGTTATCCAATTCAAAATGTGATTTTTTTTAACAGATATTTCTTCATGTACTTCACAGATGATGAAGATTCTCCCAACTAAAAAGGATAAATCTGGCTCTCATAGGATCAGAGGTTTGGTCTAAGAGATTGCTATCTAGTATTAGGGGTTTAGTTTATAATTGTGAAATGAACAGGGCCAAATGAAATGTAATCAGTGACCTCAGATCCGTTGGGACAATGCTCCAATATTATAACAAAAAGGGATAAGAACCAAGTTCAGGGGCGGCACCTGTGGCTCAGTGAGTAGGGCACTGGCCCCATATACCAAGGGTGGCGGGTCCAAACCTGGCCCTGGCCAAACTGCAAGAAAAAAAAAAAATAGCCAGGCGTGGTGGGGACCTGTAATCCCAGCTACTTGAGAGGCTGAGACAAGAGAATCATCTAAGCCCAGGAGCTGGAGGTTGCTGTGAGCTGTGATGCCACAGAACTCTACCAAGGGCAACAAAGTGAGACTCTGTCTCAAAAAATAAATAAATAAATAAAAAGAACCAAGCTCAGGCATCAATCATTTTTACCAAGGGTCTCTCCTCTAGATGCTAATTATCCAATTTATTCTAATTTCCTTCTGCTCCTTATTTGTCCAGAACTTCCCCATTAGTGCTAGCTTTGCAACTCCTGTGATCGATCCCTGGCATCCCTCTAACGCCCTCCTAGTACGTCCAGTTCTAAGATTTGAGCCAGAAAACCTGAGAGTGCTTGCATCCTGGCTCTGCAACTCACTGTACCTTAGTTACTTAGGCTGCTTTAAGAAAAAAAAAAAAGAGACAGCTGGAATATCACTCAAAGAGTTTTGTAAGGGAGGTGGCACCTGTGGCTCAAAGGAGTTGGGCGCAGGCCCCAAATGCCGGAGGTGATGGGTTGGAACCCAGCCCCTGCCCAAAACTGCAAAAAAAAAAAA